AGTCTTGCCCCCAACCTGGGACGTGCGTACCTGTTCAATACCTGTAACTCTGCCTCCTAGCCTCCTAGGAGGGTTGTAACCTTAAACTCTCTCTTTTCAATGGAAAAAAACGCAAAAGTCCTTTGTGTTTTCTCGGAAAAAAAGTTGCAAGTGACGTCAAGCTTATACTACATGGCATGGTCATAAGCAAGCATAGAAATGTTTTCAGACAGTGGATTGAGATAAATTTGTATTAATACTATCATGAATTTTCCTAGAACAGGCGTTGATCTGTTTTGGCCTGTACTTTACTTGTAAATAGCTTTATTATGAAAGTTATAATAGAACAATGGTTCCACGGTTCATGGTTAAAAAAAAAGTTTGCTGGTATATTTCAGTGACACTTGCAGGCAAGTTTATCCAACTTTCGGTAGAAGATATAACTTGGGCCAGTTTTTTTTTGGCCAATTCTCCAAGAATCTTCAACCCCCATTCATTTACAATTCTAACAAATTAGACCCTAGAAGCATCTTCAATAGATGGTCCATATGTAAAAATACCTAACTTTTGGACCGTCTGGGGCAAAAAACGCTGCCCCAACAAATAGTCCATATGCAAAAAAAAATAGACCGCGGCCTCCTCATGATGTAAAATACAGCACCTCGCGGTGCAAATTTACATCACGAGGTGCATCTGGTACAAAACCAGCCGCCGCCCGCGAACGCCCAACCGCCACTTCATTTCCTTTCCCGTCCGCGCCCGTCCGCCCGCCCGAAGAACAGTCGGCCGGAATCCGCCGCCGCGACCGCCCAAAACCTCGCCGTCGGTGCCGCCACCACCCCATATCCCCGCCACCGCCGTCGCCTCCCTCGCCGGTAGCCGGCTCGCAGCCGCCCGGACGCCGCCGAATTGGATGGCAGCCGACGCGGGATTCGGCGCCTCCGGCGGTCCGGCTGCCACGGTAGGCCTCCGCCGGGTCTTAGGCTGCCGCCGACCTCCTCCCGTCGGCCGTGAGCCTGTCCACGGTCGTTGCGCCAGCCGCACGACCGCCCACCAAGCCCTCTGCCCGGCTGCCAAACTATTATTTGCCGCCCGCCAAGCTCCTCTTGGCCGGCCTCCAAGCTCATTTCTTATCACCGCCGCCGTCCAGAGCCGACCGCAGCCGTCCGCAGCAGCCAATCCAACCGGCGGCCATCTTCTTCCACCGCGCGCACAAGGTGTTCGACGGAATTCCCCAAGGTAAAACAATGACGAAACTTGATGATTTAACTTGGGATTGGATAGTATGTTTGACGGTGGTTGTGTGCATTGTAGATGAGCTTGGTTGACTCCTCTTTCGTGGATGATTCATCGTAGGACGAGGAATTTGATTTGCATGAAGAAGAGGAGATTGCTATGCTAGTGGCCATGCACAAGAGGAAGAAATCGAAGCACGGTGGTTCCGTTTATGGTCGTGCGTTCATTCGGAGAGAACGGATTGATGCGCACAAACGGTTGGTGCGCAACTACTTTGCATCATCACCTATTTTTCCGGAGAATTACTTTTGACGCCGTTTCAGAATGTCGAAAGACTTGTTCTTCCGCATTTGCAATGAAGTGAAGCGGCATAATCCAGTCTTCGAGCAGAGAAGGAACTGTGCCGGGTTGCTTGGCCATAGCATTGAGCAGAAGGTCACTGCCACTTTGCGCATGATGACATATGGTGTTTCGGCAGATTACATTGATGACAACTTGGCGATGGCAGAGAGCACTTCTATCTTGTATGTCAAGCAATTTGCAATAACTATGGTAGAAGTGTTCGGTCCACAGTACTTGAGAGCACCCAATGCTCAAGACACTTAGAGGCTTTTGGAGATGAACAAAGCTCGAGGGTTTCCAGGTATGCTCGGGTCTGTGGATTGCATGCATTGGAAATGGAAGAATTATCCAAAAGCATGGCATGGACAATTCAAGGGTCGTGGAAAGGATGCCACTATCATTTTTGAGGCAGTTGCTGATCATGAAACATGGATTTGGCATGCATATTTTGATATGCCCGATTCTTGCAATGACATCAACGTGCTCGACCGCTCACCTCTCTTTGCCAACTTAGCAAATGGAGAAGCACCACCGGTGACCTTCGAAGCAAATGGCCACACCTACAACTATGGGTACTATCTTGCAGATGGAATCTATCCGAGGTGGAGTACATTCGTCAAGCCGGTTCCAAAACCTGAAGGTAAGAAAGAACTTGTCTTTCATAATGCACAAGCGGCGGCTAGAAAAGATGTTGAGAGGGCATTTGAGATTTTGCAATCCCAATTTGCTATTGTGCGAGGATCATCTAGATTTTGGGATCAAAATATCCTTTGATACATCATGACCGCTTGCGTGATCATGCATAATATGATCATTGAGAACAAGCTGGAAAAAATTTATATTACAACTTCTATCAGTTGATGGGCATTCGTGTTAACCCCATGCGCAAAGAGGAGCGCATCAGACGTTTCATGAAGGCGTACAGCGAGATTAGAGACACCGATGTGCATGACCAACTCCGGAAAGATTTGATGGAAGAGCATTAAAAATGGCATGTCGAAAGATCCGCATAGATTCATTATTTGTTTGTTCAAAACTACTATGTTGTATTGTGCAAAACTATGTTGTATTTATGTTGCATTTCATCTCCTTGATCTAAAGAACTATGTAATAATTTGATATTGTGGACATGAAATTTTTTTATGTTGTTTTAAAACATGTTTTATGCAATATGTGTGGCTGTACAATGGCTGAACAACAGCCGCGCGGCTGCTGGCCGGTTTTGGACCATGAATTTGGACCATCTATTGGAGTTGCTCTTTTGAACCATGAATTTGGACCATCTGTTGGAGTTGGCCTTTTTTGGAGCTCCAAAACGCATTTTTTGGTGGTTCAAATTTTACATCTCCGGTTTTGGACCGTCAAAATTTGAACCATCTATTGAAGATGCTCTAACTAAGATTAGCAATCGGATGGGAGTTTGAAGATTATAGGAGAAGCTGGGGAGGGGGCCGATTCTCCCGGAATAAACCAAACTGGCCCATAAACATCGGGAGGGGAGGAACTTTGGATGTTAACAGACCGCCCATTGGTGAAGATTACAGCGGACACCACACCCATTGCCCATGTAAACAAAAAATACACCATCTATATGAACAATATATGGCACAGATATAATTCAGTCGAGTACAAAAAAGCTGTGGTCTTTGTCCAAATGTAAACGAAAATCAACTCATCGCCAAATGAATACAAGGGTCTGGGGTTAAAAAGAACAATGGCTTATGGCCAGGAAAAGCAAAAAAAAAAAAACACCACAACTCCAATGGGCTTCTCTTCTAATAAAAGTCCAGCTAGGAGTACATGGGTTCGCGTGCAGCTTCAACGAAGCAAACATCTTGCCATGCCACACAAGTTCTTACCCTCCCTGAGATAGACCAACCATATAATCCATGAGCAGAAACCTGCACTGAAGTAAGAACATAAGCAACGGTTTGACAGATAATCAAAGTTCAAAAAGGCGCTATTAATCATGCGCTTATGCATGCCTACGCACAAGGTGCTGGCATAACGCCTCGCTTTGGCCATGTGCGCTCAGAAACGCATGACTAGGCTGAGCACCTTTCCTGCTGAAGCACGATTAGGCGCGTGGAATGCCAGAAATCACGTGTAATGGCGCAGAACGGCGGGAAGGGGGTCAGCAGGAATTAGAAGGCGAGGCAGGCAGGCGCGGGACGAGAGCCAAAAGCCCAAAATTATGGCTCGTCTAGGGTTAACCTTGGCTCTCCTCTCCTTGCGTCGCCGGGCCTTCCTTGCGTCGCCGGGCCTTCCTCGCGCCGCCACAGATCTGAAGCTCGTCCTCGCCTCGGTCGGAACTCCTTCGTCTCGCACCCTCCTCACGCCGCCGGCTGCTGGACGCCGACCTTGCCCGCCACGGATCTCGCGCCCCTCCTCGTGCTCTTCTTCTTTTCAGGCAGGCAAACCCCGTGAGCCCTCCCCGTCTCCCCCTTTGAGCTATCTGCCTCGGTGCCTCCCTCTCCTCTTTTGTCTTGGTTTGCTGTTGGTGCTGCTATTTTGCTGCTGCTCACTGCTGGTGCTGCTCCCTCTGTTGCTGGTCATGCTCTGTCGCTGGCTGGCTAGCTACTGCTACTCAAATTTGGTGCCACTAGCTGCTAGCTGCTGTTGTTGGCTGCGCTAATGTGTGGTGCACTTGTGCTGTGCTGTTGTGTTGTGTATTTGTGATGTGCTGCTTTGTTGTGATGTGCTTGTGCTATTAGCTATGTATGGCTATAATCTGCTATTAGTATATACGTGAGCACATGGCTATGAGAGCGATATACTGACAAGGTATTTATCTGTTCAATGATTATATCCCACTCCAAGTTACATTTTAGTTGTATATAGATGGGCACATGGCTATAATCTGCTACATGGAGAGCTATGTATTGACATTCCTATGTTTTCCCAGCTGAAAACTACTTCCCCAGCGATCCCAGCTATGTCCTGCTGGCTTGTCCGTATGGTGTCAGTACAGTAAAAAAAAAATTTGCGGGTGGTGTCAGTACAGCATTGTACAGGATCAGTACAGTATTGTACGGGATACTTAGGCGCGCGCCTAAGCAGCGCATAAGCGAGCTAGGCGCAAGTAGGTCCCAAAACGAACAATTTATGCCTAGTGCCTTTTTGAACTTTGCAGATAATGTGAGTAGGTCAGGTGATTTTATCTCCTGGAGAAAGAAGTTGATATGTGGGAATTATGAGGTAGTCATATCACAAAGAACCTAAAACCCTTCCATAAAAATAATTAGGTAAAATGATATGCATCTCACTTAATTACATATGCTATTTGTAAACTGCTAACCTGAAGCACATTTTAATGGATGGTGACAGCTTATACTTCATGTAAGAGCAGAACAGAGTACTTGTGATGTAGAGATATGGTTATTCATGTCAGAGCAAGATGTGCCAGATGATCAAAAAGTTAAGATATGCTGTGGCTTACATCCTCAATCAGTAGCAACTTTCTTCCTTGCTGCCCTTGCATTATCATACTCAAACTTGAGCACATCTTGAATATGTGAAGTATCCTTGATATAAAACCACCTCCCAATTGCGCTCTCCTCAATCATTGGGAAGTATTGAGCAAGAATGGTGTTGGCGAACCAGTACCAGATAGCACCAAATACAAGGCCGACTACTGCTCCCGCGAAAACCTAATGAACCCATCAAATTGAAATATCTGTCAGTTTTTTAGTGGCAGTCATGACATTTATAAAAGCAATAAAACCAACAATGTTCCAAACAAGCAGGTATGCAGGGAGACCACCAACTTTTCTCAAGGATGATGCCATTAAGCCGAATCACACTGCTGATTCAGGAACAAGTATACTATGAAGAGAGAATACCCAACTTTCAAGTACATATCCACCCAAAATGTAATTGTCCTATGGTTCAAATTCATATGCAAACAGATAGGTCCAACAGATTAACCATATGAATTTCATTCACCTATTGAGTCCATAAGGATAGCGCTTTAGCTGTAATTTTTGTGTTTTCAAAGAAATATTCTTGAGTTTTAGATCCGAATGATTCAATTGATGGATTTCAACCAATTGAAATTCAAATGCAAACAGATACGCAAATTCTAATGTGAATAATCCCTATGGTTTCAACCATACAAACTTTCCCTATGAAGGCCCTTCGGATCAAAGGAATGAAAGCGCCAAAATTCATATGTATTGCTTTCCACCCAATCCCATATGATTGATTCATAGAAAGGTTAGATCACTTTTTTTATTCCTTCGATTCCTGTAGGATATCAATTAGTATCCCAGTGTTTTGCAAATCCTGCATTTCGAAGAAGTCTTAAATTATCTGACTGTAATGCCCAATCATTGGCTAAAAGTGCATCAATCAATAATCAAAATCCCATCGCGTCCGCGCAGATCGGATCCGAAATTCAGGGGCTCTGACCTGCGGGACGGTGTGGTAGCCGAGATACACCCTGGAGAGCATGGTGAGGAACGCGAGAGGCCATGAGAAGGCGGCCATGACGCGGCTCGCCGGCGACCGCCGGAGCACGAAGAGCGAGAGGTAGGTGGCGAAGAAGAAGGTGTACTGCGCGTGGCTGGACGGCCACCCGTGGGAGTCGCAGGTCTCGAGCAGCTCGCACGAGGCCGGGCGGGACTGCGCGACGGAGTGCTTGATGAGCTCGTTGAGGACCTGCGAGACGAGGAGCCCCAAGGCGAAGCAGATGCCCTGCAGCTCGCGGCGGAACATGAAGTGGGAGATGAAGCCGCCGAGGCTGATGAAGACGGGGATTAGGGAGACCCACGCGAGGAAGAGGCCAACCCTGTCGCCCCGGTGGTAGCGGACGTGGGTGAGCGTGATGGCCTTGAGCGCCGGCGGCACCGACGCGGCCATCTCCTGGTACTCCCCGGCCCCGGACATGGCTCCGCCGCAGAGCTCGCTTTCTTTTTCCTCTCTTCTTCGATTGGGGTATCGCGTATAGGGGATCTGCGCGTTGCGCTTTTCGGGCGGGGCGTGAAGACGCGTGCGCGTGCCAGAAGAAGTGGGGCGTGGACGGTAGACGCGTGGGGGTGGGGTACAAGGAGAAGCCTAGAGCTACGGATGAATCTGATGATCCAGATTGAGTTGGTTCAGGCGCCATTTTCAGCAGGTCTCTTTTTCTTCCGCATGGAGAAAACTTACACCTATAAGAACACGAAAGCACATCCAACTACCCGTAAAAAAAAAAGCACATCCAACTAAGCATTGTCTAATTTTTTTTGAGAAAGGGGTTTTCTCCTGCCTTATTTTTATTTAAAACAAGGCAAGCAAAACACACGATTGTTTACAACACTCGGGCTATAGCCAAAGTAGTTGAGCTTGATAAGATTCACAAGCACAACTAACAACATGAGCAAAGAAAATTCAACAACAAAAGCTATCTATTACATAATCATCAGCGTCAGCTGGAATGGGCTCTTGGATAGAAGTTCTGTTGATCAATCCCTGCACCCACATTATTCTTCGTCACCAAACGATCCTTAGGAGCTCTCCTCTTCTTCAATCCAGCAGTAGCAGGCAGTCTTTCATTATTTTTGATTGAGAATCCAAGCATATAATCATCCATCTATGAAGGAGCACACTTACTCTACTCAAAAGAATTCAGATTTCTTTCCACACAACTCCATGAAAACACAACTCATTTATCATAGCCCATAAGCTCCAGATGAAGGCGACACAAGCCATAACTATAACATATTCCTTATTATCTCTATCCCACAAAGAAGATAATTCATTTATATTGTCAAGAGAGATAAAAGTGAAAAGCTTCAACAATATCTTTCGAAATATGTCTTGCAATAATGCAACCAAAAAGCAAGTGATCGGCAATATTCATACTCATTATAAAAAAGACAAGTTAAATCAGCAAAGTGTTCTCTTTTACTCAAATAGTCTCTTGTAAGGATTTTGATATGAACCATCAACTAAACAAACACAATATATCTTTGTGGAACAATTATTTTTCCAAATTTGTCCCGGCCAGGGGTAGAAACCCCACCCCATTTGATTTTGTTGTAAAAGAATATAGTAGGATAAATCCTATGAGCTTCAAGAGTCCAAAAAGTTTATCGGCATCATCAAGAGGTATAAAGTGAGGGTTTTCTATTTTCATGCCCTTGGTTGCTTAGTTGTGCTCAGTTTTACCCCAGTCATCTAACATTGCTCACTTTTCTCCTCCCTCCTTCACCCCTACTCACAAAAGCCCAAACGGAGCAAGGTCGTCCAGTAAAAGCCTTTAACGATTACCTCTTGGCGAGCGGGCGCGTTATATCCTGGCAGGTGGGGTCGGGCCACTCTCTCTCTCCCCATAGTGGTGACGCGTTAAATCCTGACAGGTGGGACCGAGGTAAATTATGGCAGGTGGGGCCGAGGCAACTGAGGTAGCTTATGACAGGTAAGGCCAAGGCAACATATGACAGGCCGGGTCTGTTCTCTCTCTCATTTGTGAACGGCAGACCACACACTACCTTGAGCAACACCCCCACCTCCCAAAGACTAGCCATTGTCGCAGCCTGCCCGCATCGCAGGCTCTGACTCCAGCAGTGAACTACGGATGACAACGCTGAACGTCCGCCACAACACCAATAGTCTTTCCTCTGCCCGCATTGTCCCTCAAAGCCCAACCAACTGCATGTAGAGCTCCCGCCCCGATGATCTAGATTCTTCTGCCATCGAAGAGTGACCAACGACATCGTGGCATTGCTCGCATTTCTTAGTAAGCTCTTCAATCATGATCCGCCCACCGTATTCAAGCCCTTCGGGACCCCTTTCCCATAAACTCATCTGAAACCCTAATTTTAGGTGCGCCTTTGCGGTCAATATCTGGTCGAAGTGGGCACACCAGCGAGGGAGGGGATTCTATCATGTCCTGCCACGTTCATCTACAACGGATTCGGGGAAGTGCAGGTAGTTAGTGGGCATCCATTTTGCATCATGTTTTTTATTGTTATTTATATTTTAAGTTATATTTCACTTTTAAGTGCTATTCTAATGCGCTTTCTCTCGTAAATTGCAAGTTCTATCACAAGAGGGAGATTGCGGGCAGCTGAAATTCTGGACCTGAAAAGAGCTACAACAGAGATAGCTATTCTCCGGTGCTCCAAATGACCTAAAATTTTATGGGAGATTTATTTTGGAATATATAAAAAATACTGGAAGAAAAAGATCCCTGAGGGGGCCCACCAGTGAGCCTAGGGTGCGTCACTTGAGCTTGTGTGACCACCAGCAAGCCTCCGAGGCTCATCTTCTCCTATATGAAGCCAATTGCCATAGAAAAATAAATAAGAGGAAGACTTTCGGGACGAAGCTCCGCGGTCTTGAGGCGAAACCTGGGCAGGAGCACTTTTGCTCTCCGGCGGAGCGATTCTGCCAAGGATACTTCCCTCCGTGAGGGGGGAAATCGAGCCATCGTCACCACCAACGTTCCTCTCATCGTGGAAGGACTCATCTCCATCAACATTTCACCAGCACCATCTCATCTCTAAACCCTACACTACTAGGAAAAAGGCTAGCAGCAGCGCGGGTTTTAGGCCTATCAGCAGCGCGAGTACCCGCGCTACCAATAAGGCGCTACAGCTAACTCTTAGTAGTAGCGATGCATGTACCCGTGCTACCACTATTGACTATAGCAGCAACGCTTTTCAGGAACGCGCTGCTATTACTTAGCTGTAGCGATTTCCCGGTCCAGCGCTACTGTTATATCTTTCACCATTTCCCCATTCCGGCTTCGATAAACTGCAATTTCCAGATACTAGGTACTACTAGATATCAATTTCATAAAGCATTATAGGTACTAGGTAGTACTCCCTCGGTTCGAAATTACTCGTCGTGGTTTTAGTTCAAATTTGAAGTCAAACCACGACGAGTAATTTGGAACCGAGGGAGTACTAGATAACAATTTCATATATACTCAACATGCATCCTCAAGCAGTACAAGGTGACATCGACGGCAATCATCATATTTAGTTCTAGATGATATCGACGGCGATCATCATATGTAGTTCTACATGATATCGACGACGATCATCATATGTAGTTCTAGATGATATAGCCACATACACATATGTAGTTCTAGATGATATCAACGACGATCATCATCCTCAAGCCTGGGCGGTGGGTGTTCCTGATAGTAATTAGGATGGCCTATCCAGCATGAAGATTCTTGCCAATGAGGAATCTCTTCCACCCAACCGAGTTCAAGTGTGTGCGACCATCTGTGCCCATGCGGTAAGTACATGTGGTGACGGAGCCCCTTGCGGTAAGGCGTAGTCCAACTGAGCCTTCTTCATCAGGCTCGATACCACAACTCACAGATAGGTTCTTTGGCAATCTCTGAATAAGAAAAACATATCAATTAATAAATAGCCTAAGCATGTGATCAGACTCTACACTAAAGTATATCATCGACTAGATTTGTAAGTATAACAATACAACATGTATATATCATCAAATTACTACATGCAGTACGTGTCAGGCGGGTCACGAATGGCACCCCGACAAAGTCATCACGTGGCGGAATTATGTCCCATAGGTTGCACACCTCCTCCTCGCTCAGCCTCATTCTTTGAGCTATGATGGCTTCATGAAGTGGGTTCTCATCATCTTCATTGAGTGGGTCCTCATTATCTTCATCATCTTCGTCATCTTTATCATCTTCCACCAGGTTGATATAAATGACAACCAGCTTGGGTCTTTCTGCTCTGAAGGAGAATCTGATCAACTCACCACCAGTAAGACGCATGCGAGCGAGGAAACGGGCCCATCCATCTCCTCCAATCTGCGACATATTGCGTCCTTTCTCGACCTCCATAGTGTACGGCCCCCAGGAGCCTCAAATGTCACAGTGTCTCATGTCAGCTTGTTGAATTTCAACCTCACATTGCATGGGACGACCTGTGTAAGAAAAGCAAAATGACACAATGCAGTAATGCCAACACTAAAAATAAAATAGTTGTTACATTTCATCTAATTTCTTACCGTCGCATGACGAAAACTCGGATGGAAGTAGATGCCGAACAACTTGCCAGTTGCAAGGCTGCTGGCGCACCTTGACTTGCACAGTCGACATAGTGGTGCTGGTGGTGGCGCCATTTTACTAAATCAACTAAATCAAAATGTTCTAAATCAACTAGCCTACTAAATCAACTAAATCAACTAGCCTACTAAATAAAATAAATCAAAATGTTCTAAATTAACTAAATCAACTAGCCTACTAAATCAACTGAATCATATCAACTAAATCGACTAAATCAACTAGCATACTAAATCCACTAGCATACTAAATCCACTAGCATACTAAATCAACTAAATCAAAATGTTACATATGAAAGCCTACTAAATCAAAATGTATCAGGGAGGAGGGACAAGGAGGGGCGACTCGAGGAGGGAGAAGATAGTAGGACGGAGGAGGAAGGCGGAGCGAGGAGGGGCCGGCCGGCGGCGAGTGGAGGGAGGACGGATCGAGGAGGAAGGCAGAGCGAGGAGGGGGCGGCCAGCGGCGAGTGGAGGGAGGACGGAGGAGGATGAGGCGACAACGGCGTAGATCGGGGGAGGGGCGACAGGGGAGGACCGGCGGCGCGGGGGGTGAGGATGAGACCGTGAGTGTGTGTGAGTGTGATCTGTGGATGAGGCTAGCTAGTGAGACCTGTAGTTAATTTAGCAGTAGCAATTATTGCCTGAATGCGCTGCTGCTACGTTACGTAGCAGTAGCGCTGTTTATTTTAACGCGCTGCTGCTATAACTGTAGCAGTAGCGCGGCGTGGGAATTTTAGCAGTAGCGCTGCTTGGAGTGCGCGCGCTACTGATAAACTTGTTTCAGCAGCGAGTTTCCACAGCCTGCGCTACTGCTACTTACCAGCAGCGCCTAATTTTATAGCGCGCTG